AAGCCTTGCCCTACAACACTACTGGCAGAGAGGGTGGTTGGTTTTTTGTCCTTTTCCTCTTCTAGCTCTAAATTAAGCCAGACCCAATCTTCAGTAACAGAGTGAATCCCTCCAACAGATGGGAGGATGCTGACGGAGCAGGACAGCAGACACCCCATTCTTGTCCGCAGCACAAACAGAAAGAGGATTGCTTGGCAGTTCAGAGAAGCCTGCACTTTACTCCCACTCACCAGGCAACTTGCCAGCTTTGCTCGGGGATGGAATTAAAACAGGATTTAACCAGGCAGGCAGCCTGACCTCAGGAGTGTGATCTCCCAGGCAGAGAGTGCCTCCTTAGTCATTCCAAGTGTCACAGCAGAGCCCTGTCTCCCAAGATGGGGCACCCCAACAGCAGCGCCTGAGGAACAGAAGATCCTGCATTAGGTGGCACGAGAGGTGGCGAGGTAAGGAGGTGACACTGCAGCAACACTGATTCATCCAACATCACGCTCATCAGCAAAGCGCTGCAGCAGAAGCGAGCGGAGCTGGAGGGCACACCAAAGGACACTGCCGTACACAGAGCTCTGGAGATCCCAGGGGACAGCAGGAGGCACGTACACAAGATGTGGACTGGCAGCTAAAGGCTCCCTGTTGGAAAAGGGTGATGGTGCAGACAGCACAACAGGACATCACAGCCCAACAGCCAGGACCTATTGATCACAAGGACTTTCTACACAGCAACAATAGAACAAGCCTGTTATTACTTGGCTCTCCAGACCAGCCCAGGGTGACTGATCATTAAGCTGAGACGTGTTTGTTCTGCCACCCATGCCTTAATCCATCTGCACAAGAAAAACTGCACTGCAAGGACTCTGTGTTCTTTGTCTCCAGGAGCTCCAGGTGATACAGTCACCCCAACAAAAATATTTTTGGTGAGTCTGTACTGCACGAGCGAGTTAAGCGGTCCACTCAGCTCATCTCAAGCTGATGAGTACAATAAGCCAACTTGACACCAAATTATGGAAAGCAGACCCTCAGGTAAACTAGGCTGAACCAGAAACTCAGCAGCACAGCACCCTGTGTGACATTAGCAGCTATGTTCCCACAACCTGTCCATCCCACCTGTGCAAAAATTAGAAAAAACCCACCACACCACCAAAAACCACCTGAGACTCACACAAGCAGTCATAGCTAGGCTGCTTTAAGAAGCAAGCTGAGATTACAGCACACAACTAGGGAAAACGTGCCAGTAAAATAATCCTTCTTCCTATTTCATGCAGGAAAACATTTTCTAATATCCAAAGCATGATTTATGTCCTGGAATAGCAGATATTCTGCCCTAGCACCAACACAGCCCCATTGGGAGATCTTTAGTTGACACCTAGTCAACCAACCTTCCCAGGGCAGCTGGCACAGCACAGGGAAGGAAACATACCCAGGACCTCCCATTGCCCCAAAGATCTTAGTTACATCTAAGAACCTTCTTACTAGTGCTGGAAGAAGCTGTCTAGTGCACAGTGCTCCCAGGACCTGACAAGTTCAAGAGTTACCTTCCTACCACTGAATCCCCTTGGCTTGTCAAGTGGTCTCTGATCACAGATTCACATTCAGGTCCAGAGTCACAAAAGAAACCAAAGCAAGTCCCACACACCAGACCACAGGCAGCTAAGCTGTCAGCATCAACATGTGTAAAGAATTGAACTGATCCTCAGAGTTTTGGAAAACCATTTTCCAAGAAACTGCCATTTCCTCTCCCAGCAGAAACCATCATTTGTACCCTTGTTGTTGCTAATTTCCACCTCAAGGGACAAGACCTCACTTGGCTGTCTTTGTGGTATCCAGATGTCCCTCTAGACTGCTGTGCTCCCCTCGACTGCTGCAGCCTGGAGACCCCAACCCCAGCCTCTCTGAGGGCCAGCCGAGGAGCCAGACACTGCTCAGCAGCAACTAATGCACCCACATGCAATGGAATACAGTTTTTACTTTATGCCAAGCATCTCCTGCACCCAGGAAAGATCCGCACCACAACTCCAGACACTAAACAGACAGTGCTTTTAGAAACACAATAAAATATGATTTATCCTCTTTTTGAGCAGAGGTTCTTGCATTAGGCTCCTCGACTATTCACAGCACCTCTCATTAATACATGAGCATATAATAATGGGAATGTGCATATTTCATTTTGTGAGCCATTCTAATGTAATGATGCTGCTCTTAGGACTCCAGTGAGGGCATCTATAAAAGTCCAGACACTGCACTTTTATGCATTAAACATTCACAGTATCATTTATTCCTAGGAAGCTTCTTATTTTGTCATTATTTATGAACCGATATCACAAAGATCTATGAAACAAGAAAGAACACAGCAATTTTCCTGGATTTGAAAGATAAAGTAAGTGTTGTCAGGGTGAGAGCTGCTGTCAGTATTAAATATCAGCACTGCAAGTGTCTGTCTGGGGCAAATCTGGCATTACATCAAAAATCTTGATTTGTACGAGGCCTGGTTAACATCAGCTTTTAACCAGGAAAACACAAACGAAAGCATCATTGGGTGTAATCACTTGCTTACAGCCACTGTGGTTTTGGCAACCATTTCCTTATGTGTAAGGAACACACGAGTAAAAGTTAAAGGCACTGTTGACAGGAGGGACAGAGGAAGGGACAACAGAAAACGCAACAACAGATAAAGCTACAGAGCAACATCAAGATTCACAGGAAATATTTTTTCCTTTTTACTCTATGATGTTGTAATAGAAGAATAAACCTCTTCAGTTTTAGAAAGCCTAGAAGTCAGGACTCAATTAAATGCAACCATGACATTTTCAAGGGTAAATATTTATGTGGCTATGAATGAAGCAACTGATCTTGTATCAGGGGAACAAGGTGAGTAATAAGTATTTTCTACAAAGTAAGGAAAGGCAGGCAGCAGCCAGCCTTCCACAGAACTGCACTTCTACCTTTGCAGTAATTTACTCCCATACATCTCCTGAGCAGACACAGAGCAAGGCCAAACACTCAGAGGTGGAACGCACCAGACTTTGTCTGATGACCCATCACCTTACACCAGAGGAGACTCCACACCCTGGCAGAATGATATAACACCCAATGCCACTTAAGTCATCTCATTTTGTCCAAGAAATGAAATTACCCTGGTCATACAAGGACTCTCTGACAAAGCTGGTAACTGAACATACACCTGGGCATACCTTGAGACCGGGACCAGTCTCATGTTCCTGTTTTGTGGTATCTTACACAGCTTCTTGCCAATACCTCGCCAGGCTACGCTGTTATACACAGAATTTAACTGAAGCTCATTTGCCATCACATAAGGAGAAAAATGTATTGCTGCAGTTGTAACAGTGATGAAATCACCCCTTGCAGGAAACATCTTTGAGCTCCTTCCTACCCAGCAGGGCGAGGAGCAGCACACGAACAAAGGTTCTGAAAGATCTGCCACAAGCAAATCCAGCAGCATAATGCTTCATACAAATGCAAACTACAGAGGAAGCGCAGGAGCAGCCGCTCACTCCCTCAACTGAAAAGTTATTAAGTAAACTTAGAAGGTTCAGAGGAGAATGAAAAAACCATGAGATCTAATGCCCTGAGTGGCCTGTGCCCAGAGGAAGCTCCCCCAACCCTCTGAGATACTCTGCAGTACCCATCAGGCCAAAGGCGGTCACCGTTCCCCACACCCAGCTCCAAAAGCTGGTTCAGGAGCAACCAAAAGATATTTCCAAGAAGCAATCCCATTCCCGGCAGCCTTGTCTCCCGGAGCAGCCTGAAATCCCCCACCTCCACATCTCCTCAAAACAACACCAGGCACAAAACACCTCCCAAGGACCTGCCTGCCCCCGCGCAGCACCCTGCCGTGACCCCCTGCCCCGTCGGAGTGGGACAGGGTGGGTGACACAGCCCCGGGGCTGGGGTGAGGCGGGGAGACTACAGCACCCAGAAAGCATTGCGATCAGGCTGTACCAACCGGCTGGGACTCGTGCTCGGGGTGACGCGGAGGCCACCGGAGCCAATCCACGGGAGAAGGAGGAATGTCAACAAACACGGCGGCCTGCGGGACATGTGATAGCAGGGACGGGGCGGGCAGCCCCAGATAAGCCACCCCAGGGCCGGCCGGGGGTCCGGGGTCACGCAGCCACCGGTGCTGGGGGCAGCACAGCCCGTACCGCCAGCCCCTCCGTCCAGGGACGGGAGGGATCCATTTTAGGCTTTTAGATCCTGCCATGCTTTTGTTTGGTTGGTTGTATTTCTTTAAAAGAGCATCACAAACATCAGAGAATTTTGCTCCGTGACCCAGTACCATTGTTTTTCACTAAAAATTCAAGGAGGGGGAGGGAGAAGGGAGGAAAAAAAAAAAAAAGTCATTGGATAACTTGGGTTTCATAGCAGATCAGTTTTAGTCCCTCAGATTAGATCTTCTGAGCTGACTTCTGAAGGAAAAAGCAACTGCGGGAAACCACAATAATCTAAAAATGCCTGCTGCAATTTTTAACACTTAGTGACTGCCACAAGGACAACAGAAAAATGCAAATGAAAATTCTCTGGAACTGAAGACAATCATATGCCACAAAGTCATGCTCGCACTATTTTTACATTGCTTAGGAAAGAGAAATTTTCTTAGGGAGTATATCCAGACCAGAGAAAGAAAATAAAAGGTAGGCATGCCAAGAATAACTACTGTAATTTTATTTCTAACATTTTGTGAACTTACGCGCTTCCGACACAGACATATTCACCAGACACTGCATTAACATCCTGGGAGCAGGAGCTCCCACCCAAACTCCCAACTGCATGAGAGTTCTGTGGTACTGACAACAATTAATACATGATCTGCTCAGCCCTGTTTGTTTATCTTTCCCTAACTTATCACAAGACTTTCCACGCCCCCCCCTCACCCCCCCGTCAGAATACGTGTGTTTGATTACAAACATCTGTTAAAAACTGAAATTCCACAAACTATTCAACCTCTCCCAAATCCCAAATGCTTTGCCATAACTGAATGTATTTACCTGGAAGTCATACAAGGCAACGATGTTTTCATGTTTCAGTTCCTAGAAAAAGCAAAACAAAGACCATCAGCTAGGAACAACAAAGGACATACAGAACAAAGACTGAAGAAAACAAGTCAGTCTACTTTTACCTTAAGTATTTTTATTTCCTTGCCCAGCAGAGTTTGAGATTTTGCAAGGTTCTTCTTGTTAATGCATTTCACAGCTACTTCCAGCTCAGGCTTCTGAAAAAAGTGCATATGTAATTCAATAATAAATGTAAATTTCACTATTAATTTACATTAGGATAAGCAGCCTCTTAACAGATTACAAATACTACTCAAAGAAGTGTCTCGCAGCACCGGTAAAGGCCCCTCACTTTACATCCTAATGCCTATCCCTCACTTGTTCAGACTTGCCCTTTCCCATATTATGCTTGTCAGCCCAAGGTTTGGGTTTTTGTTACTCCTTTATTCAATGATTATCCTCTTATTTAATCACTAGAAATACACGCACTGTGGGAGCCATGGCTTATCCCAAGCCCTAATGATGGAAAATCCACGGCCGGATTGGTTTCCTTTTATTTACCAGGGAGCGATTACCCCTCCTCTTGGAAAAATTAAGTGGAAAAGTACAAAACTTCACAGACATGCACAAAAAAACCCACAACCCAAGCCACCCTAAAGCAAGAGCCCTCTACTTCACATACAGTGTGTGTGTGGGGGGGGGGGGTGGATTATTTTTCTTGCTCATTTTTAAGGTAAGGGCCAGTTTTGTCAATCAATCTCCGTGGGGGATTGCCAGCCTCTGGCCCCGCTCTGGCCAGCCGCAAGGTGAAGCCACCTGCCTGGGTCCTGCTGGGACACACGTCTGCCTCCCAAAGAAACTCCAGAACAACAATAATAAATAATAATAAATATGTCTACCATCACCAGAGCTGCCCCAGAGCCCGGGGCTGATGCCCAGGCTAAGAATAGCCACCCCAGCCCACCGGGGACGGGGTGACCGGGATGTGGTGCCCGGCTCGGCCCGATGTATCTATAAATAAGAGCTGGGGGGGGGGGGGAGAGAAAAAACAAAGGAAAATAGATTCTTCACCTCTTTGTGCCTGCCTTTGAAGACGACGGCGAAGGCTCCGTGCCCGATGAGGTCCTTCCTGCTGAACTCAAAGTTTCCCACCGTCTCCATGGCGCTGCGCCGGGGGGCCCCCGGGGCCGGCGGGGGGGCTGCGGCCGGGAGGGCTTCAGAGCTGCAAAGGGGCGAGGAGGAGGAGGAGGATGGCGGTGATGAAGGAGCTGCCTTGAAAGAAAATTAAACCTCTCCCGATCCAAACGCAACGGCTCAACCACCCCCAACCTCCCCACTGTCCACCCCA